AAAGCGTAAAAAACGCATAACGGGAAAGAGCGTAAAAATATAACGGAAATAGCGTAAAAATGATACGAAAATAGCGTAAAAACGATAACGGGAATAAGTAACGTAAAAAACCGATAAAGGATATATGGTTAAAACGAGTATGGAAAGAACTTGAAAAACATAAAGGGAAGGTAACGTGAAAACGATGAAGGGATGATCGCGAAGCGATAAACGCTAATCTGCAATCATTTTACGGTAACGCCGTTATCGTTTTAACGTTTTTTTCTTGTTTCATTTACGTTAAATCGCGTTTTTTTAAGGTTAAATGCGTTAGAATGAAAACCGATATGAATGAAAATCAAACGTTAAAAGTGCAGTTTCAAAATTTGAAATGTCTGTTATTTAAATCAGTATACCGCAAAGTCGTGTGCTTCGTCCAGCATTATAACCACAGCATTTTAATTGTCAATGAATACTCGAAAATACATTTCTATTGAAAATACGTCGCACCTACAATGACCACCCCCGTGACTTCTAAACGTTTACGAGATCGAATGCTTTTATCTGGCAACAATGTCGTATGGTGGGTAAGTAACATGACTCTGGAAATTGTCTGTAATATATTTTTCAGTGTAATTGAATACCTGAAGTAACACCTTAACGCCAATTCGTGGGTTTCTTGTCTTCCTTTATTTGTAACGATTAGTTCACCTGTCATTTTCATCCCATAACAAACAATCGAGTGCCAACGCCATTCCCTCTTCCACCGCCACAACCACTACCAAACACCGCCACCCACACCAATTTACTATTAACAGTCATCCATCTTCCACCACCCTCACATCATCGTATCGCCACGTCGCAATCAAACTTCCGCCATTACATGCTGCAGCAATCTCGCGCGTCCGCCGCCACCCGCCGCCGACCGCCCCGAACCCCGCGCCGACCCCGCCCGACCACCGCCGCGTCCCGCCGCCGTCCCGCCGCCTCCCCGCCGCCGACCCCGCCACCGACCCCGCCCAGCCGCCGCCGCCGCTCCCCGCCGCCGTCCCCGCCGCCGTCCCCGCCGCCGTCCCCGCGCCGTCCCCGCCCCCGTCCCGCCGCCGTCCCGCCGCCGTCCCCGCCCCCTCCCCGCCGCCTCCCCGCCGCCGTCCGCCGCGCTCCCCCCGCCGTCGCCCCCCGCTTCCCCGCCCGCCGTCCCCGCCGCCGTCCTCGCCGCCCGTCCCCGCCGCCGTCCCCGCCGCTCCTCCCGTCTCCTTCCACCCCCACCTCCACCCGCTGCCCGTCCACCGCCATAATTCGTCATGCTTGCCATTGCTACCATGCATAATCGAGACCTCGCATACATGCCACGACGTTCTATTTCAAAGCTGCTTGCGCCGTCATCGCCGGCGCCCCATCCCCGCCGGTGCGCTCCCTCCGCAGTCCTCGCCGCCCGCCTGACACCTTCGGCGCGCCCCCCTGCCGCCCCCTCGTTGCTATTCATCCGGGTGGCCGGGGGTCGTTGGCATGCAGCCCTCGCCGACAACAATTCTTGCGAGCTTGCGCCTGCGCACCCGCGCGTTCCCGGTCGGGCTTTATGACGCGGCCGCGGCGCGCATCGCAACCAGGCACGGAGGCGGCGGCAGTGGAAACGAGATACCGCCGTCCGAAGTGGAGAGGGACCCGATGGGCGGGCTGAGTTTGCTCAGACTCAGCCTTGCCTCTTCTCAGTAGTGCCTCTGTCCGGGAGCTTCTAGGGTTCGACTCCCGATAGTGGTAGGATTTTGTACACTAGCGAGATAGCAATCTCCAATTCATTCGCTGCCTGTAAGAGCATTCTAGCGTCTGGCTGCTCTGATCAGTAGTTTTTTGTGATTTCTCCGGTATATACGAAGGAATGTTGGAGAAATACCTTATCAAACGGGCCATCGACGCCACCGATATTTCTTTCCTCTTCTTTCTTATCGAATGATTGATTGCTAGTGACTCCCAGCGCGTTAACTCAGAAGGGGGTGATGATCTTTCCCCACTGAATGGCTAGATCCAGCGCCGCCCTACCGTCGGATAGCAGGTAATGGTTGAGGATAGGACAAGAAATGGGAAGGCAAGATAGAGCGCGGTCCGTGACCCTTTAGTCAGGGTACTTCTGCGGCATTTGCCTGATATTAAACGAAGAAAACGCGGAAAACTACCTATCAGAGCAGCCGACCGCCAGAATTCTTCTCCAGACAACGACCGAACGCGGTCCAGATATCTGGCTAGTGTCGAAACTCCTGCCATCGTCGGGACTCGAAGCCCAGGACCTCCCGGTCAGAGGCACTGCAGTGTCATCAGTTGATGCTCTGAGCCACCTCTTCCGCTCCAATTCCTATCCTCACCCCTTACTTAAACTTACATGCACTACACACTTACACTTACACTACACTACCACTTGTTGGAAGACCAGTCGGGAGCACGGTGTTTGCCTCGTCTGGGCGGTGGTACGCTAGTGGGAGATGCTAGATTGTGGGAAATCCCCGCAAGCTAATGTAGGTCGGCGCTGGATCATGCCATTCAGCGGAGGAAAATCGCTGCCACCCCACACTATAGCCATGCACTAATGGGACTAATCTGTGCAGTTGACGCGCCCACATTCACTAATCAATCAATTCGGACGTGGAGTCACACGGTAGTGGGATTTTTAAATTAAGTTACATAGCTACACTGTCTGGAGGAGAATTAGATCAATACCAATCGAATCCAGTAACAGTACCCGTACAATCGGTCCACGGGCCGCGCGATCTTTTCTCCCTCCTCCTTCTCCTAGTTTCTTCCCTTACTCTCACACACAAACTTACATACACAGTACTACCACACATGTCCAGAGGCTACCCGGGAACCTGTAGCTAGTTCTGTGTGGGGAGGTGTCTCCCTGGAAGAGATACATAGACGAAAAATCGCCCGGCGCACGACGTGTGGTTCGGCGCCGGCTTCTAACAGTCAGCGAAGGAGGACCACCGCCACCTCCTGAGGGGTCTCTACACTAATGCTTGTGTTAGTTAACGAGCCCCAAATCAACCAACCAATCAATCAATGAACCGAAGCGAATGGCGGCAGAGACGGCCACAGACACCAAGGTTCTGTAGGCGGCGGATGAGGAGGAGGTTTATGCGATTGCCGGTGTAAGATGGGGGCAGCGGTGGAATAAAAAAAATCCCTCACCTTAAGTTTTTGGCGCTCGGTGAAGGGAAAGGGATGGGTCAGGAATGAGAAGGCTAGATCGCGCGTAGTTTTGAAGCGCGTAGTTTTGAAGTTCGTTGTACAGGGCGCTGATCCAGAAGCGTCTTGTAGCATTCTGAGAAACATCGGGAACTCCTGATGAGAGTAGTCGAACCTGGCAGACGCAAGAAAGTATCTTATTAAACACATGACGCAAATTTCCGGCACTCTGCCGTGATGGTACCCGCGATCTTACCCCTTCAAATCCTAAGGACGCTTGAGCGCGGGGCACGCTGGTTACTTCCGGTGTTGGTGGTGGCGGCGGGATGGCATTTTGAATGCTGCTGTTCGCAGTAATGTTCGCAGTAATGTTCGCAGTAATGTTCGCAGTAATGTTATGTTCGTGACGGTGATGACAGTCCTTACAAATGATAACGTGCCCTTGAAAAGAGCAGGAGTAGCGGCGGAGGCTTAGGAAAATTGAGCCAGTGATATTGAAGATTGAAGTTGAAGGAGCTGAAGCGAGGTGATTGGACACTATGGTGGCGGGAGTGGATCGTGTGAAGCGACTTATAAAGCAGGCGTTGCAGTTTAAAAAGCTGATATTTGGAGATGATTTGCTACTCGTATTATCTCAGTGACAACTATAGGATGAAGAAATTTATGCCGCATCTCAGACGGGAATGTACATTCTCCAAATACGTGCAATGAGCAATATGACGACTGTATGAATTTGAAAGAACTCTGTATGCGTATTACGAAGAACGTAATATTTCAGTGTTCAATTCACGATTTCTTTTCACTAGAACTGTTGTCTTACAGTCATTCAAGCTCGACGTTTTAAGATAAGATGAAGGTGAAGCAAAAATGGTAAAATATGAGTTTTATTTATACACTGTCGTGAAATATGGAGTCTGATTTTGAAGTGTAGAGCTTCCAAGCAGACACGCGCTTGCTTTTGTATAATATTTGATAATGTAATGGATGTAGATCTGCATTTCTATCCGTCAATTGAAATATGAACCTATCTTTTAGATAGTTGAATGTTTCAATTAGTTGAATCATTTCAATATAATAATAATAATAATAATAATAATAATAATAATAATAATAATAATAATAATAATGATCAGAACTCGCTGACTTCTTTAATGTTTTTTGTAGATATAAAAAGAATTATATATAAGAAAGTACATCGAATACTTACAATATTGCTAGGCACGAAACAATCATTTGAATGATCACACAACACTACGTCCTCTAAGCAAGACGAACTACTTTTCAATTTCCCGCGAACTTAAGTTGCGAATGACACCATCTTCCCATTCCAATCATCAATATTGTAAGTATTCAATGTACTTTCGTATACATAATTCATTTGATATCTACATAAAACATCAAAGAGGTCAGCAAGTTGTTGTTATTATTATTATTGTTATTAATATTATTATTATTGTTGTTAATATTATTATTATTGTTGTTAATATTATTATTGTTGTTGTTAATATTATTATTGTTGTTGTTAATATTATTATTGTTATTAATATTATTATTGGGCGTGTCATTTTGCCAGACACTTACAATAAACAGGGAGGCATATGCAATTACAAAAACCATCACATGAAAACTGTAGCCGATAGAGAAATTCGGAAGTTAGATCTGAATTGAGAGGCAACTTATCTTACAGAAACTGTGTGTTTTGTTATCGTTGCAGAAGAAATGTTTGTTTTGTGGGCTAGTGTTATCAAAGCTGACATAAAAGTACATCGCGCGGAAAGATCACAGTTCGAAAATTAGGTAAAGAAAATGGAGCAAATGTAGATAACCTTTTATTTGTAAATAGGACATTACAAAATTGGAATAAATTAGCAACAAGTGATGGAAACGTTCTCCCAGAATTTAAAACATTTTAAAAATAAATTAAGCAAATTATATTTTTGTTGAATAAGTTCATAATAAAGTTAATTATTTTATGCATAACAAACATGCAAAAAAAGGCCGCAGTATAATACATTTATTATATCGTACTCTTTTGACAAATGTATTATCAAATAGAATAAAATGTGCCATGGAAATCACAGCTAATTCCAAAAGCGATCTCGCAACTTGGAATTTATAAGCCAACTTCCAAACTTGAAGATTTTATTTAAAAAAAAATCACGTCTAAAAATAATAAATATGTAGATGATCAGTGTTTCTTGATTTCAATAAAATTTTAATCCAGTTTCTATATAATATCACCTATATAAGTAAAATTTCAGTGCACTTCTTGACAATAAAACGAAAACGGTCAATACAAAACTAAGTGCAAAACCTCGGATAATTAATTTGTCAGTTTTTGTTCCAGACGAAATTATTAAATTTTAAGATTTCATACTTCACGCATGGCACAGTAAAAACATTACTGTGAAATCACTAGATTACTATGTATTTGCGAAATTAATATTATATTATCGCCTTTTTTTAAATTTTAACGCGTAATGTAAAATGGAGATTTCCTATTCTGAGAATCTGTTTTGAATTTAATAACGGTGTTAAAGCAGCTGGAATGATGGCAACTCGCAGACGAACGTGCCGTTGCAGAAGCAAGACACATCGTTGAGTTGCGCCGTCCAGTACAGGCTGCCGCAGTCTTCTTCTCCTCCCGCGCTGTTGGGCTCGGCGGGGTGCCACTCCGTGAACCCACTATTCGAAAGCAACTGCCCTGCAATTGAAAACATTCACGCGAAATAGTCATTTTTAAATGATACATCCAAAAAGATTAAAAATCCTGTCATAACACATGAAACTAAAATTTCCACCATTTTTTGGAATGTTTATAGATTAGTTATTGTTGGATAACAAATGACATTTCAAATGTACCGAGATCAAAGTATCATATAATTTCTTGAAAAATAATTTTAATGAAATAACTTCAGGGTATAATTTCATTTAGTCCATATTAAATTAATTATAATATTTAATGAAGAATAATGAGGAAATGCTTGAAAACTTATTATAGCAATTTGTTTTCGATTTTTTTTAAATTTTGTATTTTATCAAGGTATAATCGTAGTATTTGTCTTACCTAATACTGTATAATATGTGCCTTCCACTAAAAGATCATGAAATCCGACCCGGATACCTAAGAGTTCGTGCGGAATGTTGTATTGTATGTGAAAATTCGCCACCATATTGGCTTCTTCCTAAAACACACACAATTCAATATTATATAATAAATTACGTCCCGAAAGTTGTGTAAGTTTAAAGGTAACTTCAAGGTCAAGTTGTGCGGCTTCCGGTCTAGCCCGGAAGATTATTAAAAAAAATACTTCTATGATTTATATTAGAATTCCATGTTGAGTTTCATCACAGTTCATAACATTACATTCCTTTCTTATTTATTAATAAATGCTTTACGAAATAATAAAATACGAACAAGTTCAAAATTTGATGAACAGTGAAAAAAAACTTGATAATTCGAAGTAGATTAAAATGATGTGATGATCACATTTAAGGCTCTTGATTTCTAAGAAAGACGCATATATCTCTGATCATCGGGCTTAGTAATCCTGGAAGTGCCTTTAGAAGTGTGGCAATGCAGCAGCAGCAGCAGCAACAACAACAACAACAACAACAACAACAAAAACAACAACAAACATGTCTGAGTATAAACCCCGACCTTTCTCCCTTGAAAGCAGAAGACCTGAGCAATGCTACCTGTTTGACTATGGCTCATCCCATGTTTCGAGGTGTGGCTCAGAGTAAAGAAATGTCTCATTTCTTCAAATATTAGACTTTTCGTTTTTATTTCTAATTTTAAACATTATATATATATATATATATATATACACACAAGTTCTATAAAATTAAGTAAAGTGATAGAAAAACCATTCAGAACTGATCTAAACTCTAAACCGGAATTGAAATCGAAATATTTTGTTGTCGGCAAGAGATACATGAATGGAATTATTTCATCGACCGACACGATAATGGGGATGTTATTTGAAACGGTTTGATGCCTGAATATTGATATTGGAAATTTCTCTTACCAGCGTACCATGAAGTTTTCTCGTTCATATGTTACGGCCCTCTCTCGTGGTACTCATGGTACATGTTCGCATTTACAAAGACGTACAAAGGTACTAGTTTCCCACCGATTCGCACCTACTGAAGTTAACAGCATAGTACTTTATTTCCAATTGAAACATTAACCCTTGAATTTCTTGTAAGCAGCGACCGGTCACGGAGTAATGTTTATAAACCTCAGTGAACGATACATTTCATTGACGCCGCGTTGAATTGTCTGATGCCGACGTTTCGAAGAACTTGTGGTCTTCCTCAAAACAGACCAGCCCTGAGGGACACCACAAGATGGCTGAAACGTCGGCATCACAGTCCTCAACGCGGCGTCATTGGGACAGCCAAGAGCTCTCGCAAGAATCCAGCCGCGGAAACCTTCGACTTCACACTGCATTGCAGCGGCGAAGGGACATGACATTCGCGGAAACGTGCCGTCGTAGTGGAAGGCAGCTCCTCCAGTTCCACGCAGTTGTTAAGGGCATTTTGGACCCCAGGACAAGTTTTTTGTTTGATTTTTTTCCTGATTGATTTGTTCTAATTGATTTGTTTGATTTACAAACTTCCAGATGTGCCTTCGCTTATTGATCACGAATGCATGCATTTCCTCCATTATGTTACTGATAAATTATTTTTTTACATGGGTCCAGAATGACCCCAACTGTAGCCTGTTATTTCCCCACTCTCATTTGAAACATCTTACCATGATCTCTGTAAAATGGTTTTGATACCGTCAGCAATTGATTTGTCCCTGGCAATGTCTCTCCATACCAAAGTCACGTACATATCTCTGGTGCAGTACTTATCAACAATATATGCTACGTACATTCAAGGTTTTTCTTTATATAAAATAACCAATGTTTATGTATTAAATTTATATCTCGTATACTATCTTCTGTGAGGTACCTGTAAATAAAATCATTCATTTATCTGCCTTGATTGTAAATGTTTACATTCGTATTTTACCCTCTCAATAGTTATTAAAGATGTGATGCGAAATTATACTTGAAAGTAGAGATAGGCTTTACAGCTTTTCTTTAATAACTGTTATCGGAATAACAGTCGACACACAATAACGGTTATTAATAACAGTTGAAAAATAACAGATCTAGGATCAGCAACATAACATGGCCGATTGTGGCCACCTGTTAAGAGTTAAATCAGTTATGGCAACTGCTAAGTGTTAAACCAGGCAAAACGAATGACGTAGGTAGCACTGTAAAGCTTGTGCAGCTACCTCATGGAACTTGCTTGCGCAGTTTCCTTAATCGTGTTTGGACAGAGAAACAGTGGATATGAACGACCCTGGATGAACGGCGAAGGAAAAATAGTAATTGATGCGATGAGTAAGTAATATGGCTGACGGGCCTGGCGGGGGTTCACCTACGCCCAACAAGTAAACACCATTAAAACACCAGTAATGTCCTCCTGTAAAAGGAATACCCGTTTGGGTCAAAAGTCAGCAAGTTCTGTTTCTCTTTCCCGTGGCGGCCCCTGCTCTCTAAGGTGAGAGCTTGGAGAGCAGCTAATGAGAGCAGGGCAAGGGCGAGTATGGGCGCCTGGAAACGGGAGCATTGGGATAAGGGAAGGAAACCCCGACAAAAAACTAACCTGCTGCCTTGCAGGGAGGAGCGGGGCCTCCAAAGGCAAAACCCTGAACAAAATCACGCAGGTCCACAGGGGGATCCCCTATCCACCCTACTGGGCACAGTGACGTAAGGCCAATCACCCTCTCTCTCTTGTAGCGGATTAAGAGAAACTTCAATAGCCTCGGACAACTTAGACGAACGTGCAAAGAATTGGACATGAACATAGGCATATGGAATATTTCATCAATAGTAGGAAAATAAGTGGAAATAGGTAAGGAAAAGTACAATTTAAATATTTTGGGGATTAGTGAAGTTAAAAAGAAGGGAGCAGGAGAGGTGGAATTGCATAGAGGGAATGTAATAAGATATGACGGTATGGATACAAAAACAAGGGCTTGTTGGGGGAGTAGGTATTATCGTGAACCCGGAAATTAATAATAGTGATAAATTGGGAACCGGTAAGTGCAAGAATTATGAGAGTGGACATACAATTGAAGGCAAGAGTTGCACTGGTGAGTATATATTGACCACCCGAAGACAAAGATTCAATAGAAAATATTTTATTCCAAACTTTAGAGAGTAATAGCACAAACATAAGGGACGAATGATCATGTGGTGATAACGGGTGACTGGAATGCTTGAATACAATGGGATGCGCGGAAAGGAGAGGGGGTATGGGGAAATATGGAATGGAGAAAATAAGGGTTCATAACGGGGAGCTGATGCTAGAATGTATGGATAGTCAATTGTTGATAGGCAATATGTGGTTTCCACATACAAAAATACACCTTTGAAACAAGACGAAAGAAGATAATAGTTACAAGTGTGATTGATTACTTTACGTACACGGAGTCATTTCGATATGCAGTAATGGATATGTGGGTGTGGAATTAAGCATGGAACACCAATAAGTGGTGATGAAAATCCGTATCAAATATCCACATAGAGAACGATTTAAGAAATATTTTAGAATTAAAAGTGAAAAATTGAGAATGAAGGAAAATAGGAAAAGATACGTACGTATACGGGAAAGTAAAAATCACGGGAAAGCAGACGGTCGATGAAATCCCCCCCCCCTAGATAGCTGAATTCGTCGTAGCTATAGCTAGAGTCGAAAATTCACCGCCGTCCTTTCCTAGGACCTCCCGGGCAGAGTCGCTGCAGCGGCAATGCTGCCTCTGAGGCGGCAGGTGGGGTAGTACTAAGCCCCAAGTGGCCGCACGCTGCACGTACCTTGGAGTTGATAACCGCCAGGTAGGCTCCTTCTCTCTCACACGTGGCTTTGGCCTCGAACCAGGTGACGGGTGTGAGGTGAACCTTGTAATGCCCTAAACCGGGGTAGAACGTGTATCCTGGCGGTATGGGCGTTTGTGGAGGCGGGCACGTGTGAATGGGAAGCGGCGGGGGTGGCGGTGGGGGAGGGTGCGTGGAAGGGGCAGCTGTGGGGGGCACGGGCGAAGTGGGGATGGAGGCAGGGGTGGGCAAGGGTGGCAGAGGAGAACATGCCGGCGGGCAGGGCTGCCGGCGACTGCGCGTTGCCGCCAGGCAACCGCTAAGGCTGCGCGTGCATCGCCCGTGGGGCGCGCCGTCTCCGCGCTCGGACGTCTCCGTGGCAACCAGGTCGCCTTTCCCTGAAGGCGCACATAGATTAATCACAGTATACCTCAGGGCTGTCCAACTGGCGGCCCGCGGTGCCATGTATTGTGTCCTGTACTTGGATTGTTCAATGTTTAATGTTAATGAAATTTATTCATAAAATTGTTTCTACATTGACAAAAAATCTAAAACACCCAATAACGTAAGCATGGAGTGAACTTGGAATGAGTGTGGAATGAAAGTGTTTGATGAAAAGAAATTAAAAGCTGATTTGGTCACTTATATAACTAACTGCCTGTATGCATCATTGAGAAATCTATTGGCTGCATTTTTCAGTGTTTTACTAAAGCCGAGAATCGTTTAAACATGCAAGTAACATTCAGACATTTTAAAGAAACTTTCTCGCTTTCATTAACACAGCAGAATTGGGCAAAGTAAGAAGCAGCACTTGTTAGTAAAA